CACAGTGCACAGAACACAGATTAAATGCTATATAACTATTATCTAGGATGGCGATGGGGATGACAATGATGGTGATGTTGCTGAGGGCTGTGCCCATGACCTTACTAGCCTCTTTTCCCACCCCTAGTATGAATTTTCTCTGAGGCATTTGTCTTAGGCCCCAGCCCAGACAAAATCATGGTTCTCTGGATATCAATCTGTTTTTATCTTATGGATGTTGCCACTCAAATTTCTATCTTTGTTCTGGGTGCAGTGATGAATGCCTGTAATCCCAGCAACTCAGGAGGCTGACAGGAGGATCACAAGTTTGAGGTCAGCCTCAGCAACTTAGAGAGGTTCTCAACAACTTAGTGAGATCCTGTCTCAAAAAAAAAAAAGGACTGAACATGTAGCTCAGTGATAAAGCACCCCTGGGTTTAAGTCCCCAGTGCCAAAAAAAAAAAAAAAAAAAAAAAATAGAAGAAGAAGAAGAAAAGAGAAAAGTTTTTGTTTTGAGTGCTAAAGTGAGCAGTTTGAAGCCAAATCTTTAGTATTTGGAAAGGGATTTTGGGATTTCGGTGTCCTGACTGAAATCCTTAAAGTCATCCTCAATTTCTTTCAAGTCATGATCAACACAAATCCTGGGTTTTCTGCCTTCAAAATGTATTCTGGTGCTTACCAGTTCTCACCATTTCTACAACTATCTCTTCTTCTACAGAACTAATGTGCAGATGCTTATGTGGGTCTCTGATTCTTCCTCAAAAGTACCATCCACATAACAACCAATATGGCCTTTAAACATAGAGAGGTCAATTAATTTCTCTCCTCTGTTCTTAACCCTCCAGTCAGCTAAAGAAAAATGCCTAAATCCTTATACTAGTTTACAAGACTCACCACCATTCATAGACCCCTTCTTGTTCTCTCTCTCTCTTTCCTCACCCCTCTCTGGCCCTCTGCTCCAGTCAGGTTAGCCTTCTTGCTGTTCCTCTAATATGCTGTATGTAGCTAGGACTTTTCCCTTGCTTTGCCAGCCCCCTGGAATACTTCCCCCCAAATATCAACATGGCTTATTCCCTTCCTGTATTGGTCAGCTTCATGTTACTATGACACAATGCCTGACCCAGGCTATTTAGGAAACAACAAGAGATTTATTTTGCTTCTGGAGAGTCAAGGCCAAGACTCGGTGACTCCATTGACTTAGGCCTCTGATAAGGGTGACACATCATGGAAGGACCACCTTTAAGGCTTTACCTTCTAAAAAGTCCACAGTCCTTCTTGATAGCATCACCCTGGGGACCAAGCCTCTAACATGAGCCTCTGGAACACTACCTATATTCAAACCATAGCTCTCCCTCTCTTCATTCAGACCTATACCCAAATGCCACCTCATTAAAGAACCTCCCTATTTTTTTCAAACAGAAATGTTCCCTCCCACCCTGACATTCTATATTCCCCTTGTTTCACTTTATTTTTTCCTCCCCAGCACTTTCCATGATCTTTCAGAAGTTTATTTTGTCTTTGCCCACTAGATTGTAAGCTCCTTTCAGTCAAGGACTTTGCTTGTTTTGGTCACTCCAGTGCCTGGAAAAGTGCTCAGTCAGCACACAGCAGGAGTTTGATAAAGAGTCATTAAATAAATGAGATAATGAGAAAAATCTTTTTTTAATATTTACTTTTTAGGTGTAGATGGACACAACACAATGCCTTTATTTTTATATGGTGTTGAGGATTGAACCTGGGTCCCACTTGTGCTAGGCTAGCACTCTACCGCTGAGCCACAAACCCAGCCGGCAAAATCTTAATTTTACTATTTCATTCGAATCTTTTATTTCTTGATTGCCCAATAACTTGGAAGCAGTGTATAAAAATATAGTGGACTAGGGAGAACTATGGTTTGAAGCCCCTGTTCTTGCCTAGCATGCATGTGGCCGTGGGTTCAATCCCCAGCACCACAAATTTATATATGGCACACCAGTTAAAAAAAAAAAAAAACAAAACAAATGAAGAGGTCAAGGGAGAAAAAAAATAAACCTTCTTAAGTGCTTTCATATTCCTCAATGGAAGGTGATGTTGATGACAGTAAAACATGGCTGTCAGTGGGATGTTCTATGCTCTATAACCGATTAGAATAATTTAGTAACCCCCACCCTGCCTTCACAGATGCCAGTGGATGAATGAGATTTTGCTGTAGGAAAAGAGAGGCCTCTGAGCTGGGGATAAGCATTTTAAATCACCCTCCTTCTTTTTTCCTATTTTAGAGCTCCCAGGGCTGCACATAAATACTTGCTTCCTTGGAAGAATAGCATTAACTGGCACTGGTAGAGATGCTTCCCAGCCAATGATGTTAGAGACTTTTCTTCATGGAAAGGTACTCTGGGTCCTGCACCTTGGAGTTGTGAGGCTGTTGTGACCAAACTGGGAAGACAGTGTTCTATTCTTCAGTCTTGATGGTAATGATACTTCCTGTTTTCAGTGCTGATTGTGTGCAGGTGTATAAGACAAAGCTCATATTCCAGATCATAGCTGGTGCTTTCTCCAGGGATTCTGGACAATGATAACACATGGTTGTTCTCTTCCCTTGTCCCAGTCACATGCACCTACATCATGGTTGAGGAGTCTCATTGGGACCCTGCCCTTCTTAAAGGCCTGGCCTAGGTACCTCAGAAGGTTGGAAGGAGTCACTCCTAAGCATCCTGTGGAAGGGAGAGCAGAAAATCTGATGCAGACCACTTGTTTCTTTTGCTCTAAGAGATGCAAAGCTAATAGAGAAATACAATTCTAAGACAGACAACAGAGCAGGCCCTGGGTTGGGTCATTTTAGAGATATAGCTTTTTCCTTAGAGTTTTTATTTTATTTTTATTTATTTTTTTAATATTATTTATTTTTAGTTTTCCGGCAGACACAACATCTTTGTTTGTATGTGGTGCTGAGGATCGAACCTGGGCCGCACGCATGCCAGGCGATGCGCTACCACTTGAGCCACATCCCCAGCCCCTTCCTTAGAGTTTTTAGCAGAAGTGATTCTGTTCTCAGCTCTGATAACTTCTGAAGCTTTCCTTGGAGGACTCCGTCTCTACTCTGGGAGCAATTAGAAGGCATCCAATATTCCAAAACCTTCTTTCATGTAGCTTTTTTTATCTGATGGAGGGCATCTTGCCCATGGTTGGGCTTAGTGGTGCCTGATGAGGATCCAGCATATGAATCTGTGGATGCAAGTCACCAAGACAACATCTGAAGAGTGAAAACACTCCCACAAGGGGAACACCCTGTTAGTGGCCTTGTTCTGGCCCTCTGCGTGTATTCACCTTCTCACTGTCTCTAACACTACAAAATACTATTTTTCCTGAGCCTAGTGGAGGAAAAAGTCAAGTGTTAACATGGGATAACCTGCTGAGTTGGGGAAACACACAGCTATAGTATTGCAGGACCTACCTCTTGTAATCACCCCCATTCTGAAATTTAAAACAAAAGTTGCTACTGGCCAGTACTGTTAGTTGTCAGACAACAGACAAACACATGGCAGCCAGAAAAATCCCCACAGAGTTTGGGCGGCTGATTTCTCTGGCAGCAAATGAAAGCTTTAGCAATTGCCCCTGAGGACTGGCTGAGCATTGGAGCCCCTCTCTCTGTGGGCGCCCCTTCCCCCACATTCTGGGCTGTAGTGGGTGTAAATGTGTGCACCGTGGGGTGCAGGCACCCTCGTTCATAATTTTAGGCAGCTGCACACCCGACTCAGGGACACCATACCAGCATAATTCATCCCACACCTCACAGCCAGGGTGACTCCAGCCTCAATAGACAACAATTTGAAGGCATTGTTTACAAATCAATTTCCCCCTCTAAATAGGCTGTTACAAGAGTGGACCCTTCTGCTTGCCCAGCCTAGGCCCACCTGTCACTGGGACTTCCTAACCAGTGGTCACACTGTATTGATCTTTTTAATCCCCTCTCTTTGAAACATGGAGCCAGCTGATGTGGAGTTCCTCAAAAGAAAGACTCTCCCGCAGCCCCTACCTCTACAGGTAGCTGCGTATCCGGGCTAATTCCCACTAAAAAGTCTTAATTGGCTTATGGGGCGCCTGAAAGATCTCCCTTGTGTTTACATCGTGAAAGGAAATGATAGATCCCAAACACCTTAGTCTGTCTTTATCTGGTTCTTGGTGAAAAATCAGGTGCATTTATTTTTTAATTGTTTTTGACACAGTAGTGGAGGGTTTGGAGGTCGGTGGGGATAGTGTTTCACTTTAGTGGTTGAGCCACCAGCAGAAGGGAAGAAAAGCCCCAAAGACACTAACATTATGCAAGAAACTTGGTGACTTATTTTTCACTCAGTTTTTATTTACACGAAGCATCTGCAGTACAAAAATGTAAACTTCAATAGCTCATAATAATAGAATAAACTCTTTATGTACAAAAATACATTTTCATATGAATGAAGCATCTTGAATAAATTAAAGTACCCTCCAGCCCCGTGCCTGAATAGCTACGCAAGCGTTGGGGTTCTTCCTAGAGCGAGCCTGCAGTGGTGGGGGTCGGGATCCATAATGCATGAAGCCCACTCCTTGTGTCTCCTTTTTAAGCCTTTTCATTGTATTGTCAGCCGGCTCAAACCGAATTTTCATGCTCGTTTTTCTTCATTAGAGTTCTACAAATTGTAAAATTGACTTTTCACCTCGTCTTCAGGGGCTCATCTGTCTCTTTTCCAAATCACACTGAAGTGGTGGCTGGGGTCAGTTCTGAGCCAGCCACAAAGGAGGTTTTGTGGAGTTCAGAAAGTGCAAAAGGAAAGGCCTTCTGGGGGCGGGCAGGAGGGGCCCAGGGCTGAGAGCTGGAGAAACAGACTAAGGGGCAGCCATGGCAAGGGTGCAGCGACCTAACAAGCGGCTCAGGTATTCCCTACCCTTCTAAAGCTCCCGCTTCCTCCCTCTGCCTGGAGTGGGGGGCTCCCGAAGCCGCAGCTGAGTCCTCGTGTATTGCCCATTAGCTTGGGGAGAAGACGGTAACGGGGTCTAAAAAGAGCCTAGTGGTAAGGAATGAAACACGGCGTCGTGTGGAGCAAGTCTTTGGGCAGGCCAGGGAAGGAGAAAAGGGGATCGCCGGGGCCATATGCGAAATCTTCGGAGGCCGCGGGGCTACTGGGGTCAGAGAGTGGTGAGGTGGCGGCGGCGCACGGGGAGGCCGCGGTACCGGAGCCCCAGGACTCGGCATCGCTGGCTGGGCTCGGGGGTCCGGGCAGGCAGGGGGCACACTGAGGAGGTAGGAGGCGCTCCCGGGCAGCGCCCCCGGGCAGTCCTTGATCGGCCAGGCGCAGTGTCTCGGCCAGAGCCCAGATGTAGTTGTAGGCGAAGCGCAGCGTCTCGATCTTTGTGAGCTTGGTGTCATCGGGGAAGGAGGGCAGCACACTACGCAGCGCGTCCAGCGCGGCGTTCAAATTGTGCATGCGGTTGCGCTCGCGATCATTGGCCTTGACGCGCCGGCTCCTTCGTAGCGAATGTAGCAGCGCCTCGGAGCGCACTCGCCCACGGCCCCTGCGCCGCCGCCGCTCCTGCTCCTCGTCCTGCGCCCCTGGAACATCTGACGTCCCAGAGATCCCAGGTGCGCCCCTGCGGGCCGGCGCGGGCGGCCCCGAGGTGGAGACAGGCAATTGGAGCCTGACACAGTCCTCCTCGTCGGTGAGGAAGCCGGACAGGTCGCTGCTGCTGTTGTTGCTGGCGCAGTCGAGGTCGGAGAGGCAGGTCTCCAGCGGGGCTGGCATCTTTGCGCTGTGCAGGACTGACAGATGGACAGAAGGACGTTTAGAGGACAGGAGCCCGGGCTGAGGGCAGGGCCGCTGGGGGGCACTTACGTTTCGAAAGGCCCGGGCTTACTTTGTGCCCGTTGCGGGCGCGAGGGCCAGGAAGGGCGCAAGGGCGCAAAGGAAACTTGGCTTTGCCTTCTCGCCTCGCCTGCAGGAGCCACGCGCCGGGCTGGTCTCCCGAGTGATGTCGCCGGCGATCAGATCAGCTCGTGTGAGCACCGAGTGTGGCACACGACTGGCCTCAGGACCCCTTAAGTACCCGGCGCAACAATGGGCGCCCCCCTCCCTTGCCACCTCCGCCCCTGAGGCAGCCCCGGTGAATGGAGCGAGGCGGCAGGTCAGCCCCGTGCGGCGCCAGGGTATTTGCATAATTTATGCTCGCGGGAGGCCGCCCCTCCCCCCTCCTGGAGCGTGCCCGTAATTACCGCCGGCCAATCGGTGGCCTTGCCTGGCCCCGGAGCCAGCTCCTGCTAAACAGGCCCGGGCGTCTCCAGGCAGTGAAACCCGGGCGGGGGCGGCGGGCGATTAGCGGCGGAGGCACGCTCCTCCAGGGGCGGGCCGGCGCCCCTCGCTGGGGTGGGATGGGGAGGCGGGGCGCGGGCAGAAAAGTGTGAGCTGCTCTATGAGCTGTGGAAACCTGGAGCCCGCTGGGAGTCTGGGTTCCGTTCTCACTCCGGCTGCTGAGTGGCCGCCTTGGCTCTGGGCTAGTGATTTCACCTCTGAGTGAAATTCCTCGTCTGTAAAATGGGACAGAGGTCTACCTGTGGAAGATGATGATCGTGGGTCATTTGGCAGGGAGTTTTTGTAACAGAGTCCTAATTGCGATATGCAATTGGGAACCGGTGAAAAACCCATGTCCAAATAGACTGCAGATTGGCCAGGTGACAGTCCTGGAGCCCGGAGTGGAAATAGGCGATCCTGCTTCTTCCAGGTTAATAAAGAAACAGGGGAAGGAATCTATTGGCCTTCATCTAGTAGGCGGGAGGGGGAGAGGAGTGAGGAACCCAAGCCAGGCTGGAGTGAATCTTGACCTCACCAATCTTTTCTCCCTCTACTCTCAACTGCCAAACACTCATAAAGTAGCAAGGGTGCTAATCGCCTCCTCTAAGGTACCCCTGAGAACTTGCTTCCCCTATCTCCAGATAATTCCTTTGCGTACAGCCTGTGTGGTGAATCCCAGTGCCAGCCAAGGGGAAACTTCTTCCCTGGACCATAGAAAGCAGGACTACAAACAAATAATGGAATTCCTCTCCCTAAGTCTCTTCTACCTTTGGGGTTATAAACTCACCTTTCCAGCAGAAAGTTTTCACTTTTGCAGATCAGGAGTCACTTTAGCTACTGGAGAGCAAGAGTCTCAGACACACCCCAGCTTTTACTGGGCAGTTAATAAGGGACAACCCTGGATTATAGGGCAGGGGTATTAAAAAGCAAAATGAGCAAAAAGTTCCAGCCCCCTCCCCATGATATCTGAGTGGTGGCCTCAGGCCTGATGCCTGGCCTGCTGCCCTCAGAGGGGACTCTGCTTGGAGCATCAGTCCCTTTGTGGAGAGATGCTCTCTGGAGGTAGTGTATCCCTCTGCAGACTAGGGACTAGCACTTGCCTTCTGGTTCAGGGGATTCTGCTGAACCCTCCCCTTTCCCCTGCCACACCCCACTTGTGCACTGACTTCCCCCCATCAGCTGGCAGAAAGCTGGGAAACATATATAAAGATTTGAGGTTTGTTAGAAGTAAACAGAAAGTGGCTTCCACTAGCTTATGCGTGAGAAGGCAACTGTTGGACAGATGCTGGGGCACCTCAGGAGACCCAGTACTCACTCTCTCTGTCCATTTTCTCTCCCTGGGTTAGCTTCCACTTGGCCCCTTTACTCTCCCACTTGCCTGACCTTCTGATACTCCTGGGCCCTGTATTTTTTTAATTTTTATTCATGTTGCCATTAAAAAAAATACCACAAAGTGGGTGGCTTAAAAGTTTATTCTCTCACAGTTGAGGAGACCAGAAGTCTGAAATTAAGGTGTCAGTCAGCAGTGTTGGCCTCTTTTTGGAGACTCAGGGAAAAATCTGTTCCATATCTCTTTCCTAGCTGCTGGTGACTCCTGGCAATTGTTGCTTCATTGGTTTGTAACTCCAGTTTCTGTTTTCAGTGTTTGCATGGCTTTCCCCTTTGTGTCTCACGTTTTTGGCTGTTTCTTAAGGAGTCTTATTGGATTTAGGGCCCAGCCTAATCCAGAATGATTTGCAAGGACCCATATTCCAAATAAGGTCACATTCTAAGGTTTTGGGTAGACATGTCTTTTGGTGGACCACTGTTCAATCCACTGTAAACCCCCTTTCCAGATTCCTGGAGTACAGAATTGGTTTGGCCAGGGTCACTGGGATAGACATTTGTCAGTTTTTTGGGCTATCTTTTGAAGAGCCTTTCTTTTGAAGAGAAAAAGCTTGTTTCTTCATCAGTGTGTTAACACCAGAGAGGTCTTCTCAGAGAAGAAAGAAAAACCACTTCTCTGTTGCCTCTGGAGCCATAAGTCAGATCTCTAGGACTGCTTAGAACAGGTGTGCGCCTTCTGGTCCCAGAGTCAGTTAAAAGGGCATCTGGCAGAGAGGACAAGTGAAAGCTAAAATTCAACCTGTTTGCCACCCACCATCCCATGTGTCCTGAAGTGGGCTACACCTGTCCCCAAAGGGCACATTGCAAATGTACACAAAGGCCTCTTTTGAGCTAGTAGTGGATCTGTGCTTTATCTTGTCATTGCCTGAAACTTAGTGACCTGACTAGGCAGGGATCTTAGCCTTGCCCTGCCTGCCCCTGGCTCCTGGTGGGGCATGTAACAGTTCCTTCCTGGATGGCAGTGCTTTGATAAGTGCATAGCGGGCCCCTTCTGTAAGAGATGCACTGAGGGTGGAGCTGGACCTGAGACTGGCAGATGAGAATGAGGGGGACAGCTTTAAGCCAGGCCCTCTAGGTGGATATGTGTCCTTGCTGAGGGAGATGAAAGTTTCTTCTGCCCCCTAAATTCTTCTAAACTCATGAGCACATCTATGCAAACTCCCACATAGGATGTAATATGGTCATGTAATAAATCTAACTACAGTAGGCACCAAGGTGACAAGTGTTGCACCAGGTGTTCTACTTCCTGACCTTGTGAGATATCCAGCTGCTGATCTACTGGGGAGCAGGAACAGGTAGGTGGGGCAGAAATCCAGAGGACTAAGAATAAGCCAGAGTTTCTCACACTATGTTCAAATGGAGTGGTAGTGATGGTGGTGGAGGGCGTGTGTGTGTGTGTGTGTGTGTGTGTGTGTGTGAGAGAGAGAGAGAGAGAGAGAGAGAGAGAGAGAGAGAGAGAGAGAGAGACCAGGAGGATCTCCTCCCAGACTCCCTGAATCAGAATCTCTGGAGATCTGACCTACATGCTGAAGTCACTATTGACTGATGTTTACAACCAGTGTAGTCATATGGGAGTACATGTCACTTTTAGTTTTCCTATCCTGTACTTGCCTAAGTCCTTGAGGCAGGTCGGACACATTTATGTGACAGCTTGGAAGTGCTCCCAGTGATTCCTATGGCTTTGCCTCTTGGTCTACAATTAGGGGAGGAAAGGAAGGGAAGGACCCCTGAAAGGTGCCCTAGGGCCAGAAGGTACACACTTTTTCTGTGCAGCCCCAAATCCTAGAGCTCTGACTCAAGGCTCCATGGGACAACTGGGAGGTATTTTTGCTTCCTTATTGAGAAGCTCTCTCCTCCTCCCCCCCTTCTTTCTTTTTCCTTTTCCTCTTCCTCCTCTTTTTTTTCCCTTCTTCTTCTGCCCTGATGGGAATTGATCCCCATGCATACTAGGCAGGTACTATACCACTGAGCCAAACTCCCAGCCCTCCTAACCATTCTAAAGTAACAGATGGGGAGGAGTGGGTCAAGACTTCCAGGGTCTATTGAGATTCTTGGTATATTATTATTTTTTATTTCTTAATGAAAAATGGCCAGACTAGGGGGAAAGTAGTACTAAATTATCAACATTTATATATGACAGATTAATGTGGTCAACACATGAAAATACAATGCAGCCTATGCTGTTCACGAACAACTTCAGGATTTTAAAATGGCATCAAAGTTACAGTGCCTAGAGGGAGAGCCAGGGGTAGATCCAGATTTAGATTTGTGTTGAACATCTTCCTCAACCCTGTCTGTGTCTTGGTGACCATGTGTGATGATGACTTCATGGGAATCAGAGTCCAGAGACTTTGAGTCCTTTTGTGAATGTAAGACTGAGCCCAATGACCTCCTTGCTATCCCCCTTCAGTTATCAGGAACATGTAAGCCTAAGGTTGAGCAAATGATCTTTCAGAGATGCTGTAAGGGGAACTAAGATGAGAGGTTAGTGTGCTGAAAATACAGGGATGACAATCTGAATGTGTTAGGCGAAGGGGAAGACCATGACATTTCATTCCCTCCTAAATTGTTTTAGTTGAGATTGATCATTCTTTGTCTGCTCTGATTGAAATATTAATTTCAAGAAAGCCAAAAGTAGATCTGAGTTTTATGGTGTTACAAGGTAAGTAAAAAAGATGACAATACCCATGAACTCTCTGCTGCAATTAATGATACATAAATGGTGCTGGCACCTTATTTCACCACTCAAGGCATTGGGCACACTGAGTGCATAAGGCCATCCAGCAATGGTAATGTCCACAAGGACATTCTTGATGGGGAATTTTGCACAAAGTGGAGTGGTAGAGAGAGCCGTCCTTCCTAACCATCAATCCTTATTTTTGTTCTAGGGCTACCTGGGGGGAGGGGTGGCATTGGTTTCGTGGGTGGCATTTTAGAAAGAAAGAGTTGTAATCTTTTTAGGGAAAGGGAAAGAAAAGGTGCAGTTACTCAAGAGGAAGGGATGAAGGCTGATGTTGGACATGGAGACTCTCTTGCTCCTTTCAGGGCATTAACTACATGGCAGATATGCA